TGTGTGTATGGATTGGGATAACAGTTGTATGAGCCCCTAATAAAATGTTAAAAAAGAAAAAATAAATAAATAAAATTAAAAAAAGAAAGTTCCCCGGGTAACTAAGTGGAAGGTAAACATTATGAATCAATATATGGGATATAGAAAAAAGAGAAGGCTGATGCACACCCTCATAAAGGACACATGGAAGATATGGGTGCTACAGCAAAGTGTGGTGAAGAAATTAGATGTTGCCCAGCTATGGCAAAAAAGGACATCTGAGATCTTAAATGCTTGCTTTAAGCAAGAAGCCATCTAAGTGAGACGTCAGCCAATCCCACATAGAAGAATCACACCAACATATAAGAGTTTAAATTGTTAACTTCTGGTTTACAGAAGCCTGTGGATGACAGTGGAAGCCCAAAACACATTCACCGATCTACCTTTGCAATAAGCCTCCAGTGATTCCCTTCTTACCATAATGTAGAGATGGGAATAACTTGATTATCTGACAGAGAGTATTGGAGAGATGATTGTAGTAGATTAAAATGGTAAATCTGACTCAAATGGTTAAAACCTTGTAAGTTGATCTTCCTTGGGATACACTTTGAGCTTGATCTGGTTTTTAATATCTTCTGTTTTGTTTTTCAAATCTAGGCTTATCTCTGTTGTGTTTTGTTATTGTCAATAATGTTCTTGACTCCCTGCTGTATATGTATGTTTCTATGTTTTTTCTGTAGATGAAACCCAGGTTGGGTGAATCTATAGAGGCAATGACTAGATTAGGTTCCTGGGAGGCACACCAGGGGAGGATTAGGGTAATGTGGAGCTGATGTTAAGGAGTTCAAGAAGGAAGAAAATGTTCTGAAAATGATTGTGGTAGCAGCTGTACAACATGACTGAACTATTGAATGACATGATGTCTGGCTTATGTCTAATAAAGTAGTTTGGAAATATAAAGAAAAAGTAACAGACTTGGGGGAAAATATGAATAGTTCAATTTTGTGCATATTAAGATTGTGTATATTGAATATCTTACAGGACAACAAGTAGAATTGTACACTGGCCAGATGAGAGCAAACTTGGATCTGGACAAAGACTTGGAGTTCAGATTGAGATTTGGAAGACAACAAAATAAATGAGAGGATTAAAATTATACATCTGGATGCCCTGAATAAGGGAAACAATCAGGATACAAATAGAGTAAGGATGGAAGCTTAAACTGTGCCATAACTAGAGCTAATTCTTAAATGAATTACTGTTCTTATTTCCAAGCTAAAGGGAGATGAAGAGAACCCTGAGTCACATTGTCTGAAATCTTAAATAAATTCAATACAGACCCACTCTGGCCAGGCCTTTGACAAGTCATCAAATTCCATATTTTTAAATCTGTAAAATAGATAATATTTCCTTTCTTTTTATGTAATCTTCACAAGGGTAGAATAGGATATGGGTGTAAACTTTGTAGATAAATATAAAATATCAACCAAGAGAGAGGTCTTTAGAGATTGAATTTATTTACCAGCCCCTGACTTCCTTCCTCATACCTGTGGGAGTAATTTTTAGGCTCCCTAGGCATTAGTTAGCTTCCAGATAAAGACAAAGCAAACCGCTCCAATAAAGAAGGTAGACAGTTCCTTTCAGGTTCATATGATGGAAAAAAGATAATGTGGACATAAAAAGACATCAGAGTCAAAAGGTTAGCAGACCAAATTGTGTGAACAGTTGTACAGGAAATTATTAATATACTTAGGCTGCAAGGGGCTGAGAGGTTGAGAGGTTTTGCTCAGTATTGACTTGGACAGAATACAAATTATTTCAAGTAGAGTTTTGGTTTTAAAATGTCAACATGCAAAAAAAAAGTTTGAAAAAGTAAGGATGTTATTTTGAGGACTAAGCTGCACCTGACCTATGCCCTCATAGCCATTTTCAATCAATTCATATGCATGTGAAAATTAGACAATGCATAAGGAAGAAAAAAACAAAATGTCAGCATGCAATAAATTAGTGGATTAGCCATAGGAGGCAAATAGATCACTCTAAACTATTTTGAAACCTGCTCCCCCAGGGTCTCTTGGGAGTAACAAGAAAGGGAGATTTTGACAGCAGGTCTCGGAGAACTTCTTAGTTCAACCAGATAACCCCAATTCATCTCTTCTTTATTAGATGATTCTGTAATATTTCATTTTAACAGAATACTCCATGATTTTTAAGTCTGAAATAATATCACAATATTAATATATCTAATAAATAAGATTACATAAAAACCCAACTGTTATCGCCACACAGAGAAGGGAAATTTCTTTTTATGAAATACTCTTCCCAGGGCTCCCTTCATGTCTCTGTTCCTCAGGCTGTAGATGAAAGGGTTCAGCATGGGGGTCACCACAGTGTACATCATAGCCATGACAGTGTCCTTAATAGTAGAATTATTTGCCGATGGGCATAAGTAGAGACCAATAACTGTCCCATAGAACAGGGACACCACAGAGAGGTGAGAGCCACAGGTGGAGAAAGCCTTGTGGATGCCCCTGGCAGAAGGGACCTTCAGAATGGAGGAGACAATCCGAGCATAGGACATGATGATGAGTAAGAATGGGATGACAAGAATGAGTCCTCCCATGACAAATATCACCAGCTCATTCACTTGAGTATCAGAACAGGCCAGCTTCAGCAGAGCAGACATATCACAGAAAAAGTGGGGAATCACATTGTCCGCACAGAAAGACAACCTGGCCATGAGCAGAGTGTGCAGCATGGCATGGAATGTGGTCAGCACCCAGGACAGTGCCACCAGGGAAAGACAGAGCTGGGGGCTCATGATGGTGGTGTAGTGCAAGGGGAAGCAGATGGCCACGTAGCGGTCATAGGCCATGGCCACAAGAAGGAAGCTCTCCAGGTCTGCAAAAAACAGGAAGAAGTACATCTGAGTCAGGCAACCCTCAAAGGGGATGGATGGGACTTGGCTCTGCATGTTCTGCAGCAGTTTAGGCATTGTGACAGAGGAGAAGCAGAGGTCAGAGAAGGACAAGTTACTGAGAAACAAATACATGGGTGTGTGGAGGTGGGAGTCCAGGCGGATAAGGATGATGATGAGCATGTTCCCCACGACAGTGGTGAGATACATGGCCAAGAAAAGGGCGTAGAACAGGTTGTGCTGCTCCGGCTCAATGGGCAGCCCCAGGAGGAGGAAGTCTGAGACGATGGTTTGATTCCTTCCTGGCATGGTTGGTCTCTTGCAGGTTTAGTAGTAGGAAATAATGGAATCCATCAAGAACCTGAAGGAAAATTCACATACTTCTGTGGCACGTGGTTTGTTGGCTGTTCTGCAACAACACTTCATTCACCCTCATCAACCACAACAATAACAATATCTATTACAAAAATGTGCCAGGCATTTATTCAATTTTTGAATCCAAGGCATTCTTTGGACTTCATTTCTCCTTAGCATGAACAGCATGGACTCTCCCCTCCCTCATGAAGCCTTCTCCTCTCTTAGCTTCTGCATGGCCACACCGATCTGCCTGCTCTTTCCCGGGGCAAGTATTCTCAATGACCACAATTGGCTTCTCCTCTAACAGTGCCTCATATGTTAGTGTTTTCCCTAAAATCTGTTCTCTTACACTTGCACTTTTATGCCTGTGGTTATCAATTACAGCCTAATTCTTGTGGGCACAACCCTGTCTCTCACCTTCAGTACTATATTACCCATTTCCTAGTCAGTATGTCTCCAAGCATCTTAAGCTCAATGGATCCCAAATGGTCACAAGCATCTCAATGGTCACAAGCTTCTTAAGCTCAATGGATACCAAACTAACACCCAAAACCTCCCTCTGCATTTCTCCAATCTACTTCTCCTCTAGACTCCTATATCGATACCAAACTAACACCCAAGACCTCCCTCTGCATTTCTCCAATCTACTTCTCCTCTAGACTCCTATATCTCAATGAAAGGTATTCCGGTGAGCAAATAGAAACCTGGAAGTTTTCTTCCACTCTTTTCTTTCCTTCACCATCAACATCTGATCTATCATCAAGCCCTACAGAGGCTGACACTTCATTCTATTTCTACGTTATCCACTCTTTATCCCACTTCTCTCTCTCCTAGCCTAGGCTGACATCGTATTTGTTCTGGACCAGTGTTTCTAAAAGCGGGCAATACCACTCCATGGGGGGCGCTGGAAAGATCCAGTGGGGCGCTACAAAACCAGATTGTCTGCATTTCTCCTGGATTTTGAGCCATACTACAAACTTTTTTTTTTTATTACCAGGGAGGCGCTGAGTACTTTTTTTCTGAAGAGGGAGTCATAGGCCAAATACATTTGTGTACCTATGACTCTGGGCTAATAGATAGTCCACGCAGGAACATCACCCAACTACCAGCCCCACTCTCCTTCAATCCCTTCATTTATAAGGTGGCATTCTAAAATGAGAATCTGATCATGTCTCTCTCCTGCTTAAAATCTTTAGTGATTTTTCATTGCCCCTAAAAGTATGGCAAAATTCCTTCTGAGGTGCTTCATGACCTTACCCTCGCCTGCTTCCACAGTCTTACCTACCTACAAAATGGCATTTGAATTCTACTCTCCAGCAATGCTGGACTTAAAAGTCATCATTTCTTGACACCAGCCTTTTGCACTTGCTATTCCTCCTGACTATCACCTACATCCCTCTTCCTTTGACTGGATCCTATTTATCCTTCAGATATAAAATCACACTTACTCAGTTAAACCTTCCTTGTCTCCCATATTAGGTTGGAACCCACTACTATGTTTCACAGCATCTTGGATTTGTCCCGATAGAACTTGGAATTACTATAGATGTTTCCCTACCATATTGTGAACTCCACGTAGGGAAATCCATACCTGCATTCTTGATTAGTACAACACCACAATCTGGTACAGTTCCTGGTACATAGTCAGTATTTCATAAGTATTCATTAGCTGTAGCTATCATGAGACATGCATTCCTTCTATTTTAAAGGCATCATAAAATCCTGTTGTTTTAATAACCATGACTAAATCCTCACAGAACAAGAAATTCATTAGCCTTAAATACTTAGCACTTGTTTTAAACATTTTTATCAAATTCTGGGATGTAACTGAAGAACTATAGAAAATATTAGGCTATCTCACCACATCAAGTTTTGTCACAAACCAAACAGCCCAGAAATGCTGGCCTTTGTTTCTATGTTGTGTGATGTTGATGTGAAAAGGTAAATAATTGAGAGGCTTAACCCTATAAAAGAAAGACTATCGGTGATTTCTACCCTTAAGATATAGTTCCATATCTTCCCCAGATATCCATACCCCAATGTGTGCCTTGGAAAAAAGAAAGAGGAGGAATATTGTTATGGGATATGGGAAGCTCCTTCCCTAAAGAAGCACACAGCTGAGTTAAATTTCTGGGATTTTAACCCACTGATGCTGTTTAATCTACAACATTTGTAGTTTTTACGTTTACTTAATGTGCTTGTGTTGCAATGAAAGGGAAGCATGAAGTAAGATTTTCATGCACCTGATATCTTAGAATTTTGCTTCCTGAGAAAAATGAGGTTAAGAGTCTAATATGGAATCACAAAACAGAAAGATGCTACCACTCATAAAGCATATTAGCTCCAGCTACTCCATTCATGATACGTCTCATCTTCTTCACTGAAAGAACTTCAGTTTGGAAGGATCTGAGGGACCAGCCTATTCATGTTCCTGTCCAACTTACCCAGTGTGCCTGGGTGAGAATCCAAGGACTTGATCCAAAATTCACCCTTTTTTTCACTATAGGCTTGTGGAGTAACAGCTTCTTCTATAATTGTCTGCTGTGTCTGCACCATCCCTTCTCAGAGTTCCTGTTCTAAATATTTCTAGACCTAAGGGCCTTTGATCCCAAAAGAGTCCAGATCCTGGGGGAGCTTATTACACACAAAGTAATTACCTAGGACCTGTCTAGAGAAAATTCTCTAAGAGGACTGAAAACAATAACTAATGGCATATCTAGTATACTTTGTGGAAAGGTGGGCTAGGGAAATCTCATCTATGGCTGTGAGATTATTGTTTATTTAAGGACTTGATGGTAGTTCTGTATCATAGAAGTCAACATTATGGGAGGAGGAGGAGACATAAAAGTAAGCAGGGATCAAAATATTAATATCCTAAAACAACTTTTTTGTTGAAAAACAAAAACAACTTTTTAAAACAGCACAAACGGTGACGATACACATGGGTTTCTCTAGATGGAATACAAAGAAATGAAATTAACTACATCTGTGGGAAGAAACAATGGAGGAGCTCAATATCAAGAGCTAAAACCAGGCCATAGAGCAGACTATCAAATGTCCATGTGTAAGTTCAGGTTGAAGCTGAATAAAATTAAAGCAAGTCCACACGAGCCAAAATATGACTTGACTATATCTCACCTAAATTTCAAGACCAGCTCAAGAATGGATTTGATGCATTCAACACTACTGACAGAAGACCCGATGAACTGTGGGATGACATAAAGCGCATCACACATGGAAAAGTCAAAGGCGTTAAAAACTAGAAAAGAAATAAAAGATCAAAGTGGATGTAAGAAGAAACCTTGAAACTTGCTCTTAATTGTAGGGTGTCTACGGCAGATGGGAGAGATGATGACGTCCGAGAGCTGAACAGAACATTTGAAAGGGCAGCTTGAGAAGACAAAGCAAAATATTTTAATGAAATGTGCAAAGACCTAGAATTAAAAAACCAAAAGGAAGAACACACTCAGTATACCTTAAACTAAAAGAACTCAAGAAAAATTCAAGCCTCGAGTTGAAATATTGAAGGATTCTATGGGAAAAAATATTGAATGATGCAGGAAGCATCAAGAGAAGATAGAAATTTATATCACCGGCAAAATTAATGGTAATGCCATTAGAACTATCATATGCCCCATGGGGATAATATATAATACCCTTCAACAAAATAATGATGACGTCTTTAAAGTGAATCAGAGACATAAATAACCCATAGATATATAAATGGATTTTGAGCTCATACTAAATCATAGTGCTAATCTAAGAATAATTAGTCTTCATGACGTGGTCGTGTCCAATTCCTACTCCGATGAAGTGATCACTAAAGATATGGGTGCTATAGCAAAATGTGGTGAGGAAAATAGATGGTGCCTAGCTACTAGAAAGAATAGCATATGGGTCTTAGAGGCTTGTTTTAAAACAAGCAGCCATTTATGTGAGGCACCAGCTAAGTCCACACATAGAAACACACCAGGCTATGTAATCCAAGTGTTGTGAATAATAAAATAACAAATGGTATTAGGGGCTAAATTCTAAACACCCAGTTTACAGAACGCTATGGATGACAGTGAAAGCCCAAAACCCATTCACAGGGTCCCCCATGCAGATTAAGCCTCAGGTGAATCCCCTCTGACTACAAACTAGGCATGGGAAAGATCTTATTATCAGAGTACATTGTACAGCAGATTAGTGTATTTATGTCAAAATGTGACACCTGGTCATTTGCGTTCCCTCTTGAGCTAATGTATAATTGATCCAGTTTTTAATATTTTCTACTTTGTTTTCTACTAAAGTTTTTTTCTGTTTTCACTCTGACATTGTTGTTGGACCATTTGTTTGAGCTTTGTTTTGATTTTGTATGTTTTTCTGTATGTAAAACCCAGGATAGTAAAAAGAGGAGCTGATACCAAGGGCTCAATAGAAAGTAACTGTTTAGAAAATAATGATGGCAACATAGGTACAAATATGTTTGATACAACTGATGTATGGATTGTTATAAGAGTTGTAAGAGCCCCCAATAAAAAGATCTTTTAATTAAAAAAAAACAGGATAGGTAAACCTATAGAGAAAACTGGATTCTTAGTTTCAAAGGGACATGACAGGAGAAGTGAAAGGGAAAAGGAGAGCGCCTAATGGGTTCAAGGAAGAAGAAACATCCTGGTTGATAGCGGTAATGGTTGCACAACACTTAGGGATGTGATTGAACTAGTGAAACATGTGATATGTAAATGGTGTGTCAGTGACACTGATGTACAAAAGTCCTTGACACAATGGATGGATGGATGAATTGTGATAAGAGTTGTACGAGCCACAATAAAATGATTTTTTTAATGTTACTTATGAACAAAGAAAATCAGCAACTTAATACTAAAATAAACATCAATTTAATATGATAAAAAAGGAAAAATAAACCAATTAAAAACTAGTAAATAATTCAATCATTTCAAAATGTA